AGTTCTGAACTGCTGACCTTGTGGATCTCAGTCCAAAGAGTAACCACGACGCCACAAGATGTAAAGCCCTGGATGACCCCAAACAGAACGCTCTCTTGCTGGGTTTTGTCACCGATGAGCACAGCGTGAGGTCTAAGTAAGACACTGAGCAGTCTGATAGCAGACCCCAGGATGCTAAGACAAAGGTGCTCTGACTCCGCACAAAGGCCACCAGAGAAGAGACTCTGGTCTGTAGCTTCGAGAAGCCCAGGGGCTGCTCTCCAGAGGGCTTTCAATGTCTAATTTTTCAGAAGTAGATCACCAGGCCATTCTTCTGAGGCACCTCTTGGAGGACGTAAACCTTTCTGTTAGCAGCTGAGAGCATTGACCATTTGTGCCGCCTGAGATTCTACGGCAGACTGACTTACAGCCAGAATGTCCCCATGGGAACTGCTTTATCAAGAATCATGCTTTCCGAATCTCAGAACTTTAGTACAGGTTCTTAAAATAACAACAAATCCAACACAGTGTCATGTACTATTTTCCAGATTTCATGTCTCTGTTAATGTTAACTATTTTCCTCACATTTCACAGTACGATGATGAGAGTATGGAGGATACAGGCCATTGGTTTTCAAGCACATGAGAGTGGCTTAATTATAATGCCTGCCAAGCAGATAAGTACTATTACAAAGTTAAAAGGACAAGAGAACTCGTGTCCACATAATTATTAATCACATTTCAAATGGAAACTCCAAGTGCAGGCTCTCTGGGAAAGGAGAACAAGGATGGAAAAGATGACAATAAAAATCAAATAATATTGTATGATAATTAGCACTTCCAAGCCTACCAGAGGGGGCCGATTCTATGTTAAAAGGCACCGAGAGATATATAATCCCAGTTATTAGTAAATTTTTGCAGAAGGTAATTCAAAAACAGTTGCAGCAGTACATTGAAAGGAAATTGTCAGGAATTCACACTGCGTTCAGAAGATTATCAATGCTTATGCCCAATAGACTAGAACTTGGCTGAAAGTACAGAATACTAGAATGATGCTCACCTGTTTTCTTAATTATGCAAAGCCATTTTACTGTGCAGATCATATCAAAGTGTGGGCAACATTTGGGAATGGGAATTCTAGAGCACTTAATTATACAGAACCCGTACATAAGACCAGAGGCTCCATATGGGAATACTAAGATCAGGAAAGGCATGTGTCAGGGTTACATCTGGTCACCAGAGTGACTCCACCTGTTTGCTCAGCAAAGAATCCAAGAAGCTGGACTGTAAGAAGAATGCGGCATCAGGATTGGAGGAAGGTTTATTAACAGTCTGTGATATGCAGATGACACAACCTCGTTTGCTAAACGGGAAGAAGAATGAAACACTCACTGGTGAAGATCAAAGACGACGACAGCTTCAGTGTGGCCTACACCTCGACGTCAAGGAAACAACTGTCTTCACAACCAGACCAGTAAACAACATCCTGCCACTGGAGAAGAGACGGACGTGGCCAAGGATTTCGTCTTGCTTGGCTCCACAGTCGATGCTCGTGGAAGCAGCAGCCAGGAGTTCAAACGATGCATTGCATCGGGCAAATCTACACACGATCGCTTTAGAGCAGTGGTTCTCAGCCTGTGGGTTGTGACCCCTTTGGGGGTCAAATGACCCTTTTACAGGGGTCACAAAATGACAGTGATGAAGTAGCAAGGAAAATAATTCTAGGGTTGGGGGAGTCACCACCACATGAGGAACTGTATCAAAGGGGCACTGCAGTAAGAAGGTTGAGAACCACTGCTTTAGAGTGTTGAAATGCAAGGATGTTGCTTTTGAGAACTTAGGTGCGCCTGACCTAAGCCATGGTATCATCACTCATTCATATTCATGTGGAAGTTGGACCCTGAATAAGGCAGACTGAAGAAGAATCAATCCAATTGGATGATGATGCTGGAAGCCTACGTTAAAGTACCATGGACTGCTGAAAGAACCAACAGGTCTGTCCTGGCAGACGCACCACCAGAATGCTCCTTAGGAGCAAGGATGGGGAGACTCCATCTCAAGTACTTTGGACATGTTATCTGAAGGGACAAGTCCCTGGAAAAGGACATCATGCTTGGTAAAGTGCAGAGGCAGCCAAAAAAGGAAGCCCCTGGCCAAGATGGACCGACACAATGACTTCTACGATGGGCTCGAGTTTGACAGTGATTGTGAGGATGGGGCTGGCTCAGGCAGGGTTCTGTGCCATTGGACCCAGGGCCACTATGAGCGGGAGCCCACCTGATGGTACCTAACAACACCACCACCTGTCGAAGAATACGAAATCAACCTTGGACTTCCAGAGGAAAGAACAACTCTGTCGTGCAGGAAGTCCAGCCAGAATGCTTCCTAGAAAGTTAGATGGGGGGACTCCATCGTATGTACTTTGGGAAAGTTATCAAGAGGAGCCAGTGCTGGAGAAGGACATTGCCGAGGGTCAGAGGAAAAGAGGAAGACGCTCAACAGGACGCTCTGACCCCGTGGCTGGGACCCAGCAATGACTATGAGGAGGGTGCAGGCAGGGGCTCCTTTCTCTGCACACAGACGGGGTCACGAGGAGTCAAACCTCGCGACACAGTGACAGGAGCCCACAGAAATTCCACTCTGAAGACGGTAGCATCGAGCATTGTAGAAAAGATCATAACAATGCGTTTATTGAGCATTTACTTCCCACCAAGCACTCCGCTAAATGTTTAGGTGAATTATTTAACATAGTCTTCATATCAACCTTTAAGAGAGAGAGTTATTGCGACGGTACCTGCTTACAGAAGAGGTAATGGACGTTTAAAGAAGAAAAGTCATTTGTGCAATTGCTAATGGGTATTGGAAGCAAAATTCAATAGGATGCCAGGTCTTCCTCTTGACCGCGGTGTAATGGGTAGAAGGCATGGGCCTCAGGGTGGATGCTGCTGGGAAACCATTTAAAGCAGTGGTTCTCAACCTTCCTCGTGCCGCGGCCTTCTCATCCATTTCCTCATGTGGCGGTGACCCCCCAACCACAAAGTTATTTTCCTTGCTACTCATAACTGTCATTTTGCTACTGTTATGAATTGGGCAGCCCCCCGTGAAAGGGTCGTGACCCCCAGGTTGAGAACTGCTGCTTTAAATGGTTTACTATGGACTGGATTTTTCTGTAGCCCATGGGGGTAGCTGGAGGTCAAATTTGGCCTGCTGGTCACGGCAAAGCTGAGCAGGGCAGTGTGTCGACTGTTGTTTTTGGCTGCTTCTGCAGAGACCGAGACAATAGACAAGTCAGAATATATTTTCTATCTGATATCACCTCCACAGAAAGCTTGCTGACCCCTACATTGTCCTGTTGGGGCCTTCTAGGAGTCCTCTGGAAGAGGGGAGAGCCCCGCTTCAGAGTGGAGGAAACCCAGCTGCAGAGAAGAGAAGCTGCCGGTCGGCATCACTGGTTGTTGCTGGAGATCAGACATGTAAAAATTGCATGTAGCTCTAAATTGGGGGGAGGAGGTGAGGGACTGAATGGGTTATTATGATTGGGTCATTTAAAACACCAGTTCATTCACGTTTAAGACTCGAGAGATGATCAGAAATCCAAGATTATCAGTCACTTCACGATTGCAGTCCGGCAGGCCAGCACGCCTTAATCTTGGTCGTCGGAGTCAGCCTCTCAAACGACCGAGTCGGCGTCATTGCAGGTCCACCTTCTGCGTTATCTTCTCTTACTTGCCAGGCAAAGCTTGCTTGTAGGGTCCAGATGGCTGTCCGGATTAGCCCTAAATCTGCCTCGTTTTTTTCCTCCTCAAGTTAGAGACATTGGAGAAATAGCAGCGACTATATGTGTGTGTGAATATGTGTGTATCTATACGCACATATACACATATATTCCTATTATTTCATAAAAGATATTCAGTATTCAAATATAGGGATGTATTCGCAAGTGATCCTTTAAGTGAAATAAATGGAACTTTATGAAAAAACATTTCCATATATATATATATATACTTTTAATTTTTTCCTGTTTTGCTGAGGACAGATGAGAACATAGTCGTGGTCTGGCACGAGTTCTGGGATGAGCAATTGGGGACCGCTGTGTTGGAACTTCGCAGACAGAGAGGACAACCGGGACCACCCGGCTCAAAGCACATGGCACTCCTGTGGTTATCTGCCATTCTACCCGATACGGCTTTTCTATTCTTGGCGCCTTCATTGTGCCATTCACACTTTATTGAACACTGACTAGGGGTCCGGAACCCTGGTCACGGCGGGGATGAGATGAGTCACTGTCCCTCCTCTCCCTGTCTTTGGCTGCGCTGAGGAAGACCCAAAACTCAATTCTCTCACGATCCAATAAACCACTGTCTTGTTATGATAGTTTGAGTTGGGGGCAACTGGGGAAAGTGAGCCACGTGATTGTACACAGACTTATTATAGCCCACCCCCTCTCAGTGTTAAGCACTGACTCTGAAGTTCAATGATTCATGAGAGCTCTGATGAAGTGTGCTGCATATCTCTCTCCCTGCGTCAAGGCTGTCCGGTAAAGGGTCAGGTCAAAACCTGTTCGTAGAAGCCCCACCTTGTGTTGATAACTACCAACATCTTTTCAATACCATGTTTCCAGAAAACATTTCTTCTCTTACAATGAACTATCCCAAATAAAGCAGTCAAGCTCTTTGTAAAAATCACAACCAAAAATTAGTTATGTGAAGTGATTATCAAAAATTAACCTTTCCTTCCAAAAATAAACCTTCATAAATACTGTCTATCTGCACGCTTGCTCTTGAAATCCTTGCTTATGATACTTTTGCAGTTTAAATTTTATATTCATATTCTTGAGCAAAAGAGAATTGTTATCTATAACTATGTATTATCTATAGCTATGTAATACCCTACATTTAAATACCTCTGATCTCGATGCTTCCTCTTCTTTTTATTACATTGATAAGAAGAGCAGTACAGGAACATTCCAATTATACCACTGATGTTAAACTAAATATTTAATAATGATTAAATGAAACTTACTGTGTATTCTGATCCCATATGTTCATGTGGAGGAGCAGGGAGGAAAAAAGAGAGAAAATGATGATATAGACCATGCTTCTATACAATATAACATGAAAAACCCAACAAATAATGCTGAGTTACAATTATTAAAGATGTGGGCTTAAAAAAAAAGACCTTCCAAAATTAACCTTCCATAAATACGTAAGGCTTGCTCTTGAAATCCTAGCTCTTCATACTTCTGTGGTTGGCCAGATAAGGACAATAAGACACGATTCAATTAGCCTATAGGTTTGTGGCTAATTAAAAACCAACACAGTGGCATTATAACAACAGAATTAAAGACTAATGATTCCAGTAGAGCATTTAATTAACCACAAAGGAGATAATTTTAAGTGGGAAAGCAGCTTTTATAACCCACAAATGGAGTTAGCTCTGATGGTGTTGAAGTGGAACTTGGCATTTTCATGGCTTCCAGAGCAGGCAGCAAACATGTCTGATTTTTTAGCCCTGGTGTCCAGAGATACAGGGAGTCCCTCCTTTCCAAGTGGGCAAGGAGCCCCTCCAGCCAATAGCAACAGAAGTAGCTCGGGGCAGAGATAGTGGACCGAATATTTCTACAAATCACAGTCAAGAGGTTTTAAGGGGGTTGGGCAGGGGGATGTGCAACAAGGAAGTCAAAATAAACAGCCCACCATAGCCTCAAATCACTTGGCGGTGATGGCGGAAACAGGGAGTAAAGTATAATGAGGGCTCTACAAATGCCACTGAAAAAGGGTGTCGGCCTTCTTTCCAGCAGTCATTTCCGCCAGTGGCTCCGTAAAGGAAGCTGGAACGGATTAGCAGGACCACCACCCCTCCACCATCCCTGTCAGGAAGAGTGTTCATGAACTAACGTGTGGACACAATGGAAGGGAGAGAGAAGAATGCTGTGAGGAGCCAGGCAGTCAGGGTTTCTCCATTCTCCTCCCGGCTGGCATCTTTAGACGTCAGAACAGGCCACCAGCCTCACCTGAGGCAAAGGTAAAACGATAGAATTGGGGGCTAACCTCCTTTGCTCTTCAGAAAGTCAGGGGGCAGGACGCAGGAGGATTCGTGGGTTAAAGAAAAATACAGCCATTTAGACTGAGGGGTGTCAAATAGCGGGGAGAGGAAGTTTTGGTTTTCTTGCTTGGGTGCAAGTGGGGCACACCAAGACCAGGTAGCCAACCTACCTGGTCAGGGGCAGACCAGCTGTAGGTAGGGTCTCGCCTATGCCCATCACTCATGGTCCAATAGGGGATGAGTAAGGAAGAGTGGTCCTCTCTGCCCAGACGGCTCTGGAGGAGGGCTGCTCATGCCTCTGGATTCGTGTAAGCAGTAGTGGCTTCTTTCAGCTCTCATGGGAAGGGTGGGATGTTCATGGAGTAATCTCTGTGTGTTACTGTTTCCCTTTGGTTAATGGCCTCTTGGCGATGTAGAAACGGGGACACAGCCTGTGAGCACGGCCCACATTTGGAGTGTTGTCCCACAGAGATTCAATCCCAAACCAGTGGAACTCAGTGTCTGCTATGTCCTTGCATGTGCTGCCTGTGATGGACTGATGGTATGAGGGACTTACCTGTGATTGTGTAGGGATAATAGTTCCAAGCCTTCTCGGTGACGTAAAATATTTTCGGGACAACGGCTCTGGCCCAACTAGGCAGTTTGCTAAGAGACAGACAAGAAAGGAAAACACACACAAAACCATTAGTGTCTGCTCAGAATCTTAATTCGCTACCGCAGCTGCTAAAGAATACCAATGAGATGGGCAGCATCTCTTCTCTGCCTGGCCGTCTCTCCCCGCCTCTGGTCTCACCCTCTCTAACGGCCAGAGAGTCCATTCTGGCTCAGGCACGGGAGACTGTACATCTTTATGGGAGCAGAAAGCCTCGTCTTTCTCCCGTGGAATGGCTGGTGGTTTCCCACTGCTGGCCTGGAGGTTAGCAGAAACCCACGGTATCACCGGGGCTCACCTGTTTCTAGTCTACAGAACCCAGGTCATCATTTTCTATGCACAGTCAGGTACTTTTAAAATAGGTAAAAGTAGAAGGGTACAGCCTGGTGTGGGTTTGGCCAGCCTAGCCTTTGTCCCAGGCTCCGGCTCCTGGGAGTGGTACCGTGGAAGGGCAGCAAGGGATGCTTATATCCAGGTGCAGGACGGCAGAAGCAAACCTAAGAGTCAGGCTCCAGCCTAACAGCCAAATGAGCAGTGTGTTGCAAGTGAACAAAAAGAGCTGAGAAAAACAAGTTGAGAGACACAAACAGGAACAAATACAATCCTTTGAAGATTGTAAAGTAAGCGGAATTGTGTCTCCTCAAAAGGCTACGTCCAACTATTACACACGCACTCACACACGTGTGCACAGTCCAAGTCCAGCCCCAAGCACCTGTAGATATGCCCTTATCTGGAAATCAGGTCTCTGCAGATGTTAGCAGGTTAAGGAACTCCAGAAAGGTTCTGTCCGGGTGGCGGGGGGGGGGAAATGGGGTGGACCCCCAATCCAATGGCCGGTGTCCTCCTGGAGAAAGAAGATGGAGATGGGCACAGGGTGGGAGGGCCAGGGGAAGACAAAGGCCGAGCCTGGAGTGCTGCGTCCACAGCCAAGAAATGCCAAGGGTCACTAGGCATTCCCAGAAGCCTAGGGAGAGGCTCCCTGCACACTCTCCAGAAGCAACCCACCCTGTTAACATCTAGATTTTGGACTTCAGGTCTCGAGAACTGTGAGGGGCTCTATTTCCCCTGCATCAAGCCACCTGATTTGTGGTCATTTGTTGTGGCAGCCCAAGGAATAGAGCCTCCAGGGCCATTTGCAGAGAACAAATCTTCAAAACAAAGAAACCCCAGGGGCACAGGTCCCTGATCCTTTGTCAACCAAGTACTAATTAGGTTTGTTTTCCTTCTGCAGCAAACCCTGCAGCATAGTCCTCACCCAGAGGAAGGGCTCGATATTCTATTTGGGCATAAGGTAAAAGAGAGTTGCGAGATCCCAGCCCAGTGCTCTGCCCTGGGGTGTTCCAACTTCCCAGCTGCTACCATTGGGTTTATATTCCATTCTGGTGTGCACAGCAATACATGTTGGGCATGTATTGCCCAGCGATACAACAGACCCAGGGAGAGGCTGCCCATGCTCAGCTCCTGGGGGCTGCACGTGGGCAACAAGGAACCAGGAAGAGGCAGTTTCGAATCCTAAGAAAGGAGGCCATCAAGTCAGGAGAACTCCCAATCCCAGGCCCCTCTAGGATGTGGCATTGAAGGGAGCCAGCACAACACGGTGCATCTGCCAAGCCTTCTGCGATGGATTCTGGTCCTCCTGACCGAATCCAGGTCCTGCTTTTCCAAAAGACAAATAAGTGTTTTCAGGGCTCTCGGGACCTAACCCCAAGACCTGGGCGGTTTACCAGAGTGAAAACAAGTGGGGAGATCCGAATGGGTGAGTGTCGGACAGAGGCTGCAGCTCTCTGTGGGCTGGGAGGAGCAGGCCGAGGCCATGTGAGATTTCCCATAACCATTCTCCGGCTGCCATCAAGCAGAAGGCGCCCTCCTGTCACACCATCGCTGGTCCCCGCTGCTCAGTCACCTTCCGTGCACAGCTCCAGTGGGCAGGGCTGCTCCCCACGGGACATTTTAGAGCTTTCCTGGTGTTTATTCCAGCAGCCACTGAAGCCGGGGTGCCACTGGGGTTGACGCAGGGAGGGGCAAAAATAACTCTGGACCTGCTTGGTTGCTTTTGAACATTTTTTTCACTGTGAAAAATGCCAGATGCGGCGAAATGTGAGGGCCGCCGTGTTTTTTCCGCTTACGACTCAGTGTGGTCTCGCTGCACGTGCTGATTGATTCCTCTCTGTCAGGGGAGATGTACATTAGGAGTGCTGGTGGCAGCGTGGGCTGATCATCCAAAGGCCAACAGTTCGAAACCACCAGCTGCTCTGTGGGAGGAGGCGGAGGCTAAGAGCAACAGTCTCGGAAAACCACGGGGCAGTTCTACCCTGCCCTCAGGCCACCCCGATTTGGAATCTACGCCCTAGCTGCCGGCGGGCACCCTTCTTCTGCAGGGGCTGCCTTGCACGGGTCTCCCAGAAGTAGCGAGGCCAGCCCCATCACCAACCTCTTCCATGCGACCCCGTTCCACCCCTCCCACCCCCACCTAGAATCATCTTGACCCTCCCCCACTGGGGAAAGCCTTCACGGTCTAAATTCAGGGAGACTTACAAGGGATCCCAATGCCTAGCCTTTCAGTAGCACTTAGCTTAAAAAGCGTTTGCTGGTTTCTAACCACTTCGGTGCAGATTTTGGTGCCATTGACATTCACCATGTGGGGCCGCCGGGATCCACCCTTGGTTTTCTTGTGCTTTTAATGGACTGAACCCAAGAAGAAAATGTCCCCCAAAGCATCGCTTAGCTTAGACAAGGTCACACGTCTTCCAGAGAACTCCGAGGAGGCGTGGGCTCCACTCCCATGGACGGGAGGGGCTGCGCCACCGTGCCTCCATTCCCAAATCCCCTGTTTCCTCACCAGCTGTATCCTAGGGCTGAGCCCGGCCTAACTCATTCGCTACGCCATCGGAAGTGCCTCCCAGCAGAATCCTATGCCTAAGCAACAAACGTTTTCTGGGAGACAGGAAAAAACAACAACACCACCACCACAACACCGGCAATTTCCCATTCACATTGAAACTTTCCCTATTTGTAAATGGCCAGGACTCCAGACTCTAGAATCTCATTGTAGCTGCTTTACCTGCCAACTCACGCAGCGCTGTAATCAATGACCTTTTTCCGATGAGAAGCCTTAGAGACAAAAATCAGTTGGCCAAGATGGCCGATATGGTTTTATGTGACTCCTCTAATTAGCCCGGGAAGGAGGCTTTTCCTGGTGTAAGGCAGTTACTGGGCCAGACCCAAGAGGCCTCTGGGACAATTTCCATGATGCTCTGTTTAAATACATTTAAGCCCACTCACAGACCTGCCCCCAGCCCCTGCTCCCCGCAGAGCACATCATTATTCAAATCGCTTTTGTCTGAGAAAGTAAAACTTATTTTCCCCCATAGCAATGATGTGTCACGGCCTGCAAAGGAAAATGGAATTAAACGAGGCCCCACTGCTGCTGTCACTTGCACGATGTATCTGTCATGCAGACTATAATTCTAAGACAGAGGCTGTCACTCAAGCTCACTCCCAGGTGTCACATAAGAGTTCCTCTTCCAGAAAGACAGCATGGTTTGAGTCACGTCCGCTTGGTCCAGTGGCCAGGCTCAAAGCTCCCAGTGGCCCTGTCACCAAGGCTTAGTCCTGGAGACGCTGAGGAAGAAGAGGGACATGCTCTGAAACTTCTATGGGGTCTGCAATGGCATCCGATTCCCTCACACGTCTTCATCAATGCCTCCAGAAGAAAGAGTGTTTCAAAATGTTGGGTTCCTTACCATTTCAGCTGTAGTAGGAAATGGAGCACCCCAATGACACAGTGGGGTGACAACTTGTCCTGGTTTGCGTGGGACTTTTCTGGTTTTAGCACTGAGGGTCCCAAGTTCCAGGACACCTGCTGGAGCTGGGCAAACGGGGATGCTGTTTACCCTCAACCATAATTCTCATGCAGGTGGAGGTTTTTGCCCCTCAGGGGGCTTCTATTTCATTGTTTTTTAATTAAAATATCATTTTGTTGGGGTTTTTTATAACTCTATTACAATCCATACATCAATTGTACCACACATACTTGTACAAATGTTGCCATCATTCTTTTCTAGACAATTACTCTCTATTGAGCCCTTGAGATCAGCTCCTCTTTTATTCCCCCCCCCCTTATGACTCCTTCATAGATTATACATTATTATTCTTTTCATATCTCATACCAACCTCTGATTCCCATCCCCCATGGTTTCTGTTGTTCTCCCCACTGGAGGCATGTGTGTGATTATGTGTCAATCCCCTTCCTCCCCTAGCCACCGCCTTCCCCCTACCTTTCTGGTACAGCTAGTCCCAGTCCTGTTCTTGGATTCCATGTGCCAGGAGCTTTTATCTCTTATTTATACCTGTGTACATGCTCCGGTCTAGTCCAGAGTGAGAAGCAGCACTTGGCGTCATGACAGTGGGGGGTAGGTGAGCCTCAAGGAACCAGAGGCATATTGTGTGTTCCATCGGTACTTTGCTGCACCCTGGTTGGCTCATCCCTTCCCTGTGACCCCTTTGTGGGGGGATGTTCCATTATCTACAGATGGGCTTTTGGTCTCTGCTCCAATCCCGTTCATTCTCAACCATATGTTTTTGTCTGTTTGTTTGTCACGGGTCTTCCGATGTCTGTCACGCAGTCCCGATGACACATCATGATTGCACTGGCTAGTGTGCTTCTTCCATGTGGGCTTGTTGCTTCACTGCTGGATAGCCCCCTGTTTAACTTCAAGTTCCCAGACACTATATCTTTTAATAGCCAGGCACCATCTGCTTTCTTCACCACATTTGCTTATGCACCCATTATGTCTTCAGCGATTGTGCAGGGAGGGTGAGCATCACAAAATGCTAGTTTGTTAGAACAAAGTGTTCTTGTATTGAGGGAGGGTATGAGCAGAGGCCTGAAGTCCATCCATTGCCTCAGTGCATTGCCATATAAGTATATGTACATAGTCCAGTACCTCTATTTTTATGGACTAAGGTATTTACATATGTGCACACCTATGCT